TATCCCATTTGACTATGTCTGCTCTGATTCCCACCTGGTACTTGACCTTGGCTTGAACCGATTACCCAGTAAACATATAAATCCCGGAAGGGCTTGCATACCACACACAGGCACCTCCTGTTTGCAGACCTATCTCTGTGCACCAGCTGTGTTTCTGAGTGGACCACCAACCAGCACTCCTACAGGTGACCTGTGCAACTTTGGGCCTGACTCCCGCTGTCCCACTCTCAGGGGAGTCCCGAACTTAGCCGCAAGGGAAGCCTCCATCACCAGGTACGTGATAGGGACCTTGCGGGCACTGCAGGATTTCACTCCTTGTCGGTGTAGTGTGTTACCAATTGTTTTCTTGGTGACTGTGGTCCCAGCTACCTGGAGATCGCTGACAGGATCCTCACGTGCAGTTCTGGGATGATTCCTCACAGTTCTCGTGATCATTGACACTCCACGAGGTGAGATCTTGCATGGTGCACTAGACCTAGGGAGACTGACTGTTGTTTTGTGTTTCTTCCATATGTGAATGATTGCACCAACTGTTGTCACCTTCTCACCAAGCTGCTTGGTGATAGTTTGGTAACCCAGACCAGCCTTGTGTAGGTCTACAATCTTGTCCCTGACATCCTTGGACAGCTCTTTGGTCTTTGCTATGGTGGAGAGTTTGGAATCTGGTTATTTGATTGCTCCTGTGGACAGGTGTCTTTTATACAGGTAACAAAATGAGATTAGCAGAACTCCCTTTAAGAGACTGCTTCTAATCTCAGCTTGTTACCTGTATGAAAGACACCTGGTAGCCAAAAATCCTGCTGAATGATAGGGGATCATAAATACTTATTTCCCTCATGAACATGCAAATCACTGAATAATTTGTTAGACATGCATTTCTTTTGAATTTGTTGTTGCTATTCTGTCTCTCAGTGTTACAATATACCTCCCATTTGATTTTTAGACTGATCACTTCTTTGTGAGTGGGCAAACATTCAAAATCAGCAGGGGATCAAATACTTATTTCCTTCACTGTAGATCAGGGACTCAAGTTTGCCCCCAAAAAGGGTCTTAATAAGTTTGATACCTATTTGAGTATACAGAAACACATTCGCAATCTTAATATTAAAAAATTATATGCTGTGAACCCCAACCCATTAGATGAATGACAGGAGGATAGGTCGGTCACTAATTTAAGAATTAAGTCTTTATTTAACCCCCAAATTAGTGATAATAGACATATGGAGATGTTTAAAAAAATTAGTGATAGAGGTTTTGGAAAATATCCCCCTGAAAAAAGTATGTGAATTGCAAGACTTATAAGAAATTGTTGAATAAATCCTACCAATATGTATAAGAAAGAGTTGGAAAAGTTGATAAAATATGGGGTTGATAAAAATATGTTAACCAAAAGGGAAGGAAAGTATCTTATTCCCTCCACTTGTAGACTACCAGTAATATATTGTATTCCTAAAATCCATAAGGATAGCATGAATCCACTGGGATGCCCTATCATAAATGGCATAAATTCACTCACCGCCAGACTGGGGGAGTATATAGATCATTTTTTATAACCCCTAGTAAAAACAAACTACATCATATTTCAGGGACACTAAACATGTCCTTCAATTGCTTCAAGAGAGCAATATAAAGCTCAACACTTTGATGCTAACGGCTGATGTGCCATCGCTCTACACCAGTATTAATCATGAGGGGGCAATGAGAGCTGCTAAATGGGCCCTTAACAAAAGTAATATTCTGTCTAGTATACATAAGAAATTTCTCCTTAAGCGACTAGATTTTTGTTTGCAGCATAATTATTTTTGGTATAAGAATGAATATTATTTACAAATATCCAGAGTTGCGATGGGTGCTAAATTTGCACCTAGCATAGCCAATATTTACATGGCCCAGTAGGAGGAGGTTGTTCTTAAGGAGAATGTCCCACAGTTAAATTTATATTGCAGGTTTATTGATGACCTGATCATTTTGTGGAACAGGAGCTCACAGGATTTAGAGGAAATGTTAGCTAAAATTAATGATAATAATAGGAATATTAGGTTTACATGGGAGTTCAGTAAGAATCTGATACATATTTTGGATCTGGAGCTTATTAAAGATGAGGAAGGTTTAAGAACAAAAACTTTTTTAAAAATACAGATAGGAATTCATATATACCAATAAATAGTTGCCATTATAAGCCTTGGTTTGTTAATGTTCCAACTGGCCAATTTATGAGGATCAAAAGGAATTGCAATAATGAGGAGGATTATATACATCAATCAAATATGTTGGCCCTTAGGTTTAAGGAGAAGGGATATGATGACCAATTTGTAAAGACAGAAAGGGAGAAAGTTAGGGGTCTTGATAGGAATTCATTGTTGACAGATAAAGATAATAAGGTGGATAAGTGAACACAGAGAGTATCAGTTATTTTGGACTGTAACTGTCAGGGCTCCCAGGTATGACCAGAGGTGTGTGACTGATGCAGGGAAACGCAGACTTCAGATATGTGATAAACAATACAATTTATTAACACTAACCATACAAACATAAACGCAGTGCAATACTAAACATAATACAGTGCAAACAAACCAAACCAAACCACCCACAGATAACAGTACATACAAGCAAGCGTCGTCAGGCAGGCCGGGTCAATATCAATTGGGCAGGTAGGTACAGGGGGAGCAAGCAGAGAATGGTCGGGGTCACAGGCCAGGTTCAGCAGGTAGCAAGCAGCGTAGTACAGAGGGTCAAGCAGAGGGATGGTCAGGGTCACAAGCCAGGGATCAGGACAGGTAGCAGAGAATCAGACGAACAGAGAGCAGGAACAGGATACAGGGCCCAAGAGAAACACAACACCAAGGCAGAGTCTGTGGGTCTGGCCATCCCTTAAATACCCCAGCATCATCAGTTCCAGGTGTTAGCTGGCTGAAAGGTTGAGTCTCTGATTGCTGGGAGCACCCGCTGGCCAGCCCTGGTACTGCAGATCAAAAGGCAGGTGAGTCCCACCATTGCTGGCCAGTCCATTCCTAACAGTACCCCCCCCCCAAGGAGCGGCCTCAGGACGCTCCAAACAGTCCTAGCTGGGCAAAATGTTCCACCGCCCGGGTCTGGTAACTGGCGGGATATCAAAGACTGGCACACCGGGCAGGACTCCGGGCAGCGGCACACCGGGCTGGACTCCGGGCAGAGGCACACAGGGCTGGACTCCGGGCAGAGGCACATCGAGCAGAGGCACACACGGGCAGAGGCACATCAGGCAGAGGCACATCGGGCAGAGGCACATCGGGCAGAGGCACATCGGGCAGAGGCACATCGGGCAGAGGCACATCGGGCAGGACTCCGGGCAGAGGCACATCGGGCAGAGGCACATCGGGCAGGACTCCGGGCAGAGGCACATCGGGCAGAGGCACACCGGGCAGAGGCACACCGGGCAGAGGCACATCGGCAGAGGCACACCAGGCAGAGGCACATCGGGCAGGACTCCGGGCAGAGGCACATCGGGCAGGACTCCGGGCAGAGGCACATCGGGCAGCACTCCGGGCAGAGGCACATCGGGCAGGACTCCGGGCAGAGGCACATCGGGCAGGACTCCGGGCAGAGGCACATCGGTTTACCAGGCGAAGCAGCAGGCAGCGGGCCACCAGGCGGAGCAGCAGGCACCGGGCCCCCGGGCGGAGCAGCAGGCACCGGGCCCCCCGGGCGGAGCAGCAGGCACCGGGCCCCCGGGCGGGGCGACATGCATCGGGCCCCCGGGCGGAGCAGCAGGCACCGGGCCCCCGGGCGGAGCAGCAGGCACCGGGCCCCCGGGCGGAGCAGCAGGCACCGGGCCCCCCCGGGCGGAGCAGCAGGCACCGGGCCCCCGGGCGGGGCGACCGGCGTCGGGCCCCCAGGCGGGGCGACAGGCCTCGGGCCCCCAGGCGGGGCGACAGGCCTCGGGCCCCCAGGCGGGGCGACAGGCATCGGGCCCCCAGGCGGGGGGCGACAGGCATCGGGGCGACAGGCATCATGCCCCCAGGCGGGGCGACAGGCATCGTGCCCCCAGGCGGGGCGACAGGCATCGTGCCCCCAGGCGGGGCGACGGGCATCGTGCCCCCAGGCGGGGCGACGGGCATCGTGCCCCCAGGCGGGGCGGCGGGCGCCGGACCCCCAGGAGGAGCGACAGGTCTCGGGCCCTCAGGCGGAGCGGCGGGCGCCGGACCCCCAGATGGAGCGACAGGTCTCGGGCCCTCAGGCGGAGCGGCGGGCGCTGGACCCCCAGGCGGAGCGACAGGTCTCGGGCCCTCAGGCGGAGCGGCGGGCGCCGGACCCCCAGGAGGAGCGACAGGTCTCGGGCCCTCAGGCGGAGCGGCGGGCGCCGGACCCCCAGATGGAGCGACAGGTCTCGGGCCCTCAGGCGGAGCGGCGGGCGCCGGACCCCCAGGTGGAGCGACAGGTCTCGGGCCCTCAGGCGGCGCGGCGTGCGCCGGACCCCCAGGCGGAGCGACAGGTCTCGGGCCCTCAGGCGGAGCGGCGGGGCGCCGGCCCCCCCAGGAGGAGCGACAGGTCTCGGGCCCTCAAGCGGAGCGGCGGGCGCCGGACCCCCAGGCGGAGCGACAGGTCTCGGGCCCCTCAGGCGGAGCGGCGGCGGGCGCCGGACCCCCAGATGGAGCGACAGGTCTCGGGCCCTCAGGCGGAGCGGCGGGCGCCGGACCCCCAGGTGGAGCGACAGGTCTCGGGCCCTCAGGCGGAGCGGCGGGCGCCGGACCCCCAGGCGGAGCGACAGGTCTCGGGCCCTCAGGCGGAGCGGCGGGCGCCGGACCCCCAGGAGGAGCGACAGGTCTCGGGCCCTCAAGCGGAGCGGCGGGCGCCGGACCCCCAGGCGGAGCGACAGGTCTCGGACCCTCAGGCGGAGTGGCGGGTGCCGGACCCCCAGGCGGAACGACAGGTCTCAGGCCCCCAGGCGGGGCGGCGGGCACCGAGTCACCAGGCACAACCGTGGGCTCCGAGTCAACTGGGATGACCGCTGGCACTGGGTCAGACATTGGATCGTCTGGCTGGACAGCGGGCATCGGGTCACCAGGCATCAGGTCATTTGGCTCGACAGCGGGCACCGCGTCATCTGGCAAGGCAGTGGGCTCCGAGTCAACTGGTATGACCGCGGGCACTGGGTCAGACATTGGATCGTCTGGCTGGACAGCGGGCACTGGGTCACCAGGCATCAGGTCATTTGGCTTGACAGCGGGCACTGCGTCATCTGGCAAGGCAGTGGGCTCCGAGTCAACAGGCACGACAGTGAGCACCGGGTCATCAGGTACCGGATTGTCTGGCTCGACAGCGGGCATCGGGTCACCAGGTATGACAGCGGGCACTGGGTCACCAGGCATCAGGTCATTTGGCTCGACAGCGGGCACCGGATCAGGTACCGGATCATCTGGATCAACAGCGGGCATCGAGTCAACTGGCCTAATAGGATCGTCAGGCTGGATCAGTTCATCATGCTGGGTAGAGGCATCAGGCCGAGTAGAGGCTTCAGGCCGAGTAGAGGCATCAGGCCGAGTAGAGGCATCAGGCCGAGTAGAGGCATCAGGCCGAGTAGAGGCATCAGGCCGAGTAGAGGCTTCAGGCCGAGTAGAGGCATCAGGCCGAGTAGAGGCTTCAGGCCGAGTAGAGGCATCAGGCCGAGTAGAGGCTTCAGGCCGAGTAGAGGCTTCAGGCCGAGTAGAGGCATCAGGCCGAGTCAGGCCGAGTAGAGGCTTCAGGCCGAGTAGAGGCATCAGGCCGAGTAGAGGCTTCAGGCCGAGTAGAGGCTTCAGGCCGAGTAGAGGCATCAGGCCGAGTAGGCTTCAGGCCGAGTAGAGGCATCAGGCCGAGTAGAGGCTTCAGGCCGAGTAGAGGCATCAGGCCGAGTAGAGGCATCAGGCCGAGTAGAGGCATCAGGCTGAAGAGAGGCATCAGGCTGCGTACAGGCATCAGGCTGAAGAGAGGCATCAGGCTGCGTACCGGCATCAGGCTGAAGAGAGGCATCAGGCTGAGTAGAGGCATCAGGCTGAGTAGAGGCTTCAGGCTGAGTAGAGGCATCAGGCTGAGTAGAGGCTTCAGGCTGAGTAGAGGCTTCAGGCTGAGTAGAGGCTTCAGGCTGAACCACGGAAGGCAGGCTCACCGGTTTGGATACTGGCAGGATGGTATTGGTTGGAAAGAATTTTCGCTTTTTTCTGTTTTTTTTTTTTTTTTTAATTTAAATATTTATTAAATTTTTCATAGCAATACAAATACCCAAAAAGGGGAAATACTTCTCATACAGATAAACATTTATAACATTTCTCCCTTTCCCCGCTAAAAACTCTTTTCTTTCCCATCCCACCACCCCCCCTTCTTCCCCCCCCCGTCCCCCTCCCCCCCCTCTGCAGACTCTGGCCCATTCTAGTCTCTCGAGGCTTAATGATTTTTTGCTAACATCCTAGTTTTATATTTCCCTATATTTCTCTTTCAATCCTGCTCTTTCCCACTTTTCCCATCTCCTGTAATAGACTCTCATCCTATCTTCCTGCATATGGTATGATCTTTCCATTCTACCTATCTGGTTCACTCTTTTTATCCAGTCCTCCTCCCTCGGAACCTCAGATTTCCGCCAAAACTTGGGTATCAGCCCTTTCGCCGCATTCAAGAAATACCATATACCTGAGTCTTTATATTTATTTACCGATGTCTCCACATTGTGTAGGAGGCACGTCGTTGGGTCTAGCCCTATGTCGATTTCAGTTATTTCTTCAATCAATTTGACTATTCTCTTCCAAAAAATCTGAATTCTTGGACATTCCCACCATATGTGAAACACCGTGCCTATCTCTCCACATCCTCTCCAACACATATTTGAGTTTTCCCCATTCATCTTGTGCTCTACACTCGGAGTAATGTGCCATCGTGTCACACACTTATAATTAATCTCAACCTCTCTCATACTAACATTATCGTGTATCAATCTAAACATTTTTCTCTGTTTATCCTCATCAAACCCAACTCCCATATCCCTTTCCCATTTAGTTATAAAAATTAACTTTGTGTTTGTGTCTAATTCTGTGAGTATTCTGTACACTTTTGATATACCGTGCTTCCCATCCCTTCGTGTCTCCAACAACCTTTCAAACATGTTCCACTCCTGTTTTAATCTCAGGGGTTTCGGTAGATTTCCAATAAAACATTTCAATTGATGATATTTCCACTCATCTATTCTAATAAAAATGTCTCCCTTCTTCTCTATTAAATCTTTAAGTGATCTCAATTCCCCCTCCACCAAAACGTCTCTCAGTTGGGTATCCTCCTTTCTAAACCATCTCCTGATATCTTATTCTTTCCCGGGGGAAAGAACTCAGTGTTTGTGAGAGGCATTAATATAGAGTTAAATTCCCATTTCATATTTTTGTGTAAATTGTCCCATATCCTTAAAACATTTAAAGTGTAGATACTTGTGCTTTCTTTAATTCCTCTAAACTGTGGTGGAACCCATATCACCTGACTCAATCTGATGCCACTAAGATCATTTTCTATTGTTGCCCAACTTTTCCCCTTATGGTTAAATGTCCAGTCATATATTCTTGCTAAAACCACTGCCTTGTAGTATCTCTTGACATCTGGTAGAGCCAATCCCCCTTTCTCTTTAGTCCTACTCAATGTTTCATATGCAATTCTAGGTTTTTTATTCTTCCATATGTATCTTGTTAACATTTTTTTCATTATCTTAAAGAAGGCCTCTGGAATTTTAATTGGTACCATTTGAAATCTATACAGTATTTTAGGCATAATTACCATTTTAACTAGGTTTATACGTCCTATCCAGGATGGGTTTCCTCCTTCTAGTCTTTTTAAATCTTCCCTGATCTCGTTTATCAAAGAGATATAGTTTTAATCTATACAGATGCTTATATGAGGCAGTGAGTTTTATTCCTAGGTATTTTATCTCCTTTTCTCTCCATATAAAGGGGAATTCTTTTTGTAATTTTTCTTTTTCATTCTTTGATATATTAATATTCAGGATCTCTGTTTTCGTTGGATTAATTTTTAGATTTGATAGTTCACCGTACTCCTTCAGGATCTTCATTATATTTGGGAGAGTTATTCGGGGATTCCCCACATAGAACAATAAGTCGTCCGCAAAGGCCGCTACTCTATGTTCTATGGTTTCTATCTGAATTCCCTTCACTGATCCACTGTTCCTTATTGTTGACAACAGAGGTTCGAGTGACAACACATATAGTAAAGGGGACAGTGGGCAGCCCTGTCTTGTACCATTAGTCATTCCAATGGGTTCTGATCTCTCCCCATTTACCGTGATAATTGCAGTGGGCTCTCTATAAAGTTTACTTATCCATTCACGCATTCTATCACCTATCCCCAGCACTTTTAAGTTGTCCATCATAAAGCCCCAGTCCACTCTATCAAATGCCTTCTCTGCATCAATTGACAAGAGCACCACCGGGGCTTTCCCTTTTCTACTTTTCTGAATAAGCATCAGGGTTCTCAAGCCGTTATCTCTACCTTCTCTCCCTGGAACAAAGCCCACCTGGTCTCCATGGATCCATTCAGGCATTAGATCTTTCAACCTGTTTGCTAACACCTTTGCATACAGTTTAGTATCTGTGTTCAATAATGAGATAGGTCTATAGCTGGAGCACTGAGATGGATCTTTTCCCTCCTTGTGAATAAGTACCACATGGGCCTGTAGGGATTCTCTCCTCACCTCCATCCCACCTCCCAGAGCATTCATATATTTCTCCAACTTGGGTAGCAGTACTTCACTAAATTTCTTATAGTACCTAACTGTATAGCCATCCGGGCCTGGGCTTTTTCCCCCCCCTGTGCTTCTTAACGCTGTTTTAATTTCTTCCTGGGAAATTTCTGCGTCTAAGGAGTTCAACTGTACTTCACTTAGTTTTGGTAATCCCGCATTTTTTAAGTATATCATCTTTTTTTCATTACTTCCCTCTTGAGCTTCTTTTATCGGAGCATGGGGACTAATATTATATAACTTTTTGTAATACTCCGTAAACACTTTAATAATCTCTTTAGTTGAGTGGACCAACTCCCCCTTTGAACTTTTTATCTTTTCTATATAGTTCCTATTTTTCTTTTTATTCAAAGCTCTCATTAGATATCTTCCTGGCCTGTCTCCCCATCTATATCTCTCGTTCAAAACCCTGTTGTATACTCTTCTCTTCTCCTCATCCATCAACCTCTCAAGCTCATCTTTCTTGTCCAATAACTTCTGTCTCGTATCTTTTGTTATTTTCTTCTTATGGACCTGCTCCAGTCCAATATTTCTTTTAAAAGCCCACTGACCCTCTCTCTTCTTTCCTTTTTTTTCCTTGCTCCTGCCGCAATCAAGATTCCTCTTATAAATACCTTGTGGCTTTCCCAGATTGTAGCGATCGACACTTCCTCTGTCTCGTTCTCCCTAAAGTATACCTTAATCTCTTTCTCGATTTTCTGAGCTAAATCCTCATCCAGAAGAAGAGCCTCATTCAACCTCCATCCCAATCCTCCAGTCCACCTGCTGCTTCCCCATCCCATTTTCATTACAACCGGGGCATGATCCGAGAACGTCCTCGTCTCTATGTCAATTTTAACCAGGTGGTCTATAAGTTGATGGTCTATTTAAGATGTAATCCAATCTCGAGTATATCTCATGTGCATTAGAGAAGAAGGTATAGTCTCTGTCTTTCATATGCATTATTCTCCAGATGTCCACCAGTTGATATTCATGCATCACTTTTTTCAAGGCTCTCAGAGACCTACTCCCTCTCTTTGCACGGAAGAGGTATTATCCTTTTGTGGGTCCATACAGAAATTTAGATCTCCTGCTACTATCAAGCGCCCCTTTTTAAACTCCATTAATTTTCTCAACAGACCCTTCATATACGTCTCCGGGTTTTTATTAGGGCAGTATATATTGGCTAAAGTACACTCAATCCCCTGAAGTCTACCTTTTAAGAATAAAAACCTCCCCTCCGGGTCGGTTCTTCTATCCTCCAGCTCAAATCTCATATTCTTTGCTAAGCCTATTGCAACCCCTTTTGCTCTTTTAATTGGAGAATCTGCATAATACCATGTTGGAAAATATTTGGATTTCAATTTCACATTTGCCTCTATCTCAAAATGCGTCTCCTGCAAAAACACCACTGACGCAGCCCTATGATGTAACTCATTAAACAACCTAAATCTCTTCCCTGGACAACTCAGCCCATTCACATTATAGGTTATAAACTGTATATCTTCCATCTTTCCATTATTAACGCCATCTCTCTTCCAGATTGCCTCTTCCTCTTTATCCCATCTGTCATGCAGAGTGTTAACCCAATACCTCCTCCCCCTCCCTCCCCCAGCCAACTCCCCTCCCCTCCTCCCACCCTCCTTTTCTCCCAACCCACCCCCCTCCCTCCCCCCCTCCAACCCCCCCCCCCCCCCCCTCTTTTTAGGCCTAACATTTGCCTACTAATCATTTATGGATTACAAAGTCCACTTTTGATTTATTCCTTGGGCTAAGACTCCGTCCATGGACGACTTCCCCTTATCTAACCTCCCCATTACCCCCCAAGCCCCTCCCATATTTATCATAGGCACCGAAAAGAATAACGAGGGTGATAGGGGGGGAACAGAAAAAGATAATGGAAACCTATTTCTCTTCCTCCATCCCTCTCCCCCTATCCCCTGCCCTCCATCTCCTCCCACCCACATATTGCCAGTCCTCTTTTCTCTTCATTCTATTTTCCCATTGTTCTTCTTCCCAACCAGGGATTTCCATTCTTTGGATTTTTAAACTATCACAGAAATTTTTCAAATCTTCTGGAAACCTGAGGTATGCTGTAGTCCCATTTTTCCATCCTATTAGGCACTCGGGAGTCCCCCATCTATATTGCACATTTTGTTCTTTCAACCTTTCCAATAGGGGTCTCAAAATTCTCCTTCTCCACAGAGTCTCTGGAGCCAGATCCGCATATATCTGTATATCTCCTCCTTCATACTTAATTACTGATTTTCCCTTGGACTTC